AATCAAATAGAGAGAAGGATCTGGGGGTTGATATCACACCGAACCTGTCCCCAGAGGCCCACATCAAAAGAATATCATCAGCGGCATATGCTAGACTGGCCAACATAAGAACTGCCTTCAGAAACTTGTGTAAGGAATCTTTCAGAACCCTGTATACCACTTATGTAAGACCAATCCTGGAGTATGCAGCTCCAGCCTGGAGTCCATACCTAGTTAAACACAAGACAAAGTTAGAGAAGATTCAGCGGTATGCCACCAGGCTCGTCCCGGAACTGAGAGGATTGAGCTACGAGGAAAGGCTAAAGGAGCTGAACCTCACATCCCTGGAAAACAGAAGAGTAAGGGGAGACATGATAACCACCTACAAAATTCTCAGGGGAATTGACAGGGTGGACAAAGACAAACTCTTCAGCACGGGTGGGACACGAACAAGGGGACACAGGTGGAAACTTAGTACCCAGATGAGCCACAGAGACGTTAGAAAGAATTTTTTCAGTGTCAGAGTAGTTAATAAATGGAATGCACTAGGAAGTGATGTGGTGGAGGCTGACTCCATACACAGTTTCAATTGTAGGTATGATAGAGCCCAGTAGGCTCAGGAATCTGTACACCAGTTGATTGACAGTTGAGAGGCGGGACCAAAGAGCCAAAGCTCAACCCCCGCAAGCACAATTAGGTGAGTACAATTAGGTGAGTACTATGACAAAATCACAGAAGCCCTAGAAGAAAAGCAAAATGCAGATGTTGTATACACAGACTTTGCAAAAGCGTTCGACAAATGTGACCATGGGGTGATAGCTCACAAAATGAGGTCAATGGGCTCCATTGGAGCCAAGAGTCCCCGCAGGGTTTTCCAGGGTCCCTATACTGGGTCTGCTAAGGGTTATCCCAGGCAGGGCACTGCTAACCGGCGCCCCAAACTACGAAGCAAACTGCTGAAAGCTGAACCCACTGGACGTGTCCACTCACGAGGGCCAAGCAGGAGGGGGTGCCACCACACAAACCCTAAGGGGGGGAGCTAGTACACAAGGCAGACCCCCTCCACCAGGCAAAAAGAAAAAGAAAAGAAAAACCATCCAAGTGGACAACGTACCTAGAGGGAACAGAGCCGGCCGCTGTTATAGGTGAAAATTAGCTACACAGTACCCTACCAGTGCAATAACTACAACTTACCTGTTGGGACAAGGGAGGAAAACACCCCACACATTCGGGGAGGCCAAACGCCAAGCAGCGAAAGGCCAACATAGGTAAACCCAAGGCAATTTGTGGAAGGGAACCCGAAGCCCCAAGGGCGGTACTTACAGGGCACTCAGGGAAGGAGACCCTAAGCATATGCAGCCCGAGTACCTGAGACTATTACTCCCAGCTCACACGACCACTGTGAGAGCAGCACTGAAAACAATGAACAGCACCGAGAGAAGATTGGAGCTGGAGCCACACGACCATGCACGATCCCATCAGCCGAGGAACTGGGGTGGGGATCGCCGGCTCGGGAGTCTCGGGCTTTCCCTTCCCCCTCCCGGGGAGGGGGGGAGCTGCGCAGGCATGCGGCGTGGCTCATGTGACGTCATGCTTGTTTGCACGTTTTTCTTCTGGGAAATTCTGTCCACTCGTTTGATGATTTTCGTTGTTAACCAAAATAGGGGTTTATTTTGTGGCGCTAACCTTCCTGGGTGCCTGTCCCAGTCAATGGCAGATATAGAATGCTCCAAATCACATGTGTATTTCTATGAGCCATTGCTCCTCGTGCCTCTGTGAGGGGGGGCCAGGTTCTGACTCATGGTCCCCAGTAGGCCTAGAACTCCACCCACATCGACTGATGCAAAATAGTTAGGGTATCCACATCAGCCATGGATAGCTCCATTCCCAAGAAGAGAGAGCCTGGCTGACTCAGAGGTGGATTATCCTTCCACACCATAACCCCTCTCCTCCTTCCCACCTCCCCATCGTCTCCCTCAAGCCAGCAACGACTCTTCATAAGGTAAAGTAAACATGAAAATAGCACAACAAAACATTTATAATTACATGTGCAATATTATATTTACATTATAAAATGTCATACAAGTATAGATGTTTTTGGGAGTGGAACGGATTAAATTTATTTCCTTTATTTTAAATGGGGAAATTTGTTTCTTAAGACGAGTTTTCCACATAACGAGCTCGGTGCCAGAACGGCACCGAGCTCGTTAATCTGTCCTACCACTAACATACCAACCCTCCCCTGTCCTACCACTAACATACCAACCCTCCCCTGTCCTACCACTAACATACCAACCCCCTCCCCTGTCCTACCACTAACATACCAACCCCCTCCCCTGTCCTACCACTAGCATACCAACCCTCCCCTGTCCTACCACTAACATACCAACCCTCCCCTGTCCTACCACTAACATACCAACCCCCTCCCCTGTCCTACCACTAACATACCAACCCTCCCCTGTCCTACCACTAACATACCAACCCTCCCCTGTCCTACCACTAACATACCAACCCCCCCCTGTCCTACCACTAACATACCAACCCCCTCCCCTGTCCTACCACTAACATACCAACCCTCCCCTGTCCTACCACTAGCATACCAACCCTCCCCTGTCCTACCACTAACATACCAACCCTCCCCTGTCCTACCACTAACATACCAACCCTCCCCTGTCCTACCATCCTACCACTAACATACCAACCCTCCCCTGTCCTACCACTAACATACCAACCCTCCCCTGTCCTACCACTAACATACCAACCCTCCCCTGTCCTACCACTAGCATACCAACCCTCCCCTGTCCTACCACTAGCATACCAACCCTCCCCTGTCCTACCACTAGCATACCACCCTCCCCTGTCCTACCACTAACATACCAACCCCCTCCCCTGTCCTACCACTAGCATACCAACCCTCCCCTGTCCTACCACTAGCATACCAACCCCCTCCCCTGTCCTACCACTAACATACCAACCCCCTCCCCTGTCCTACCACTAGCATACCAACCCCCTCCCCTGTCCTACCACTAGCATACCAACCCTCCCCTGTCCTACCACTAGCATACCAACCCTCCCCTGTCCTACCACTAGCATACCCTCCACTACCACTAACATACCAACCCTCCCCTGTCCTACCACTAGCATACCAACCCTCCCCTGTCCTACCACTAACATACCAACCCTCCCCTGTCCTACCACTAGCATACCAACCCTCCCCTGTCCTACCACTAGCATACCAACCCTCCCCTGTCCTACCACTAGCATACCAACCCTCCCCTGTCCTACCACTAACATACCAACCCTCCCCTGTCCTACCACTAGCATACCAACCCTCCCCTGTCCTACCACTAGCATACCAACCCTCCCCTGTCCTACCACTAACATACCAACCCCCTCCCCTGTCCTACCACTAGCATACCAACCCCCTCCCTTTGTCCTACCACTAACATACCAACCCTCCCCTGTCCTACCACTAACATACACCCCATCCCCTGTCCTACCACTAACATACCCCCCCCCCCTCCCCCATCCTACCACTAGCATAGCAACCCCCCCCTCCCCCATCCTACCACTAGCATAGCACCACCCCCCCTCCCCCATCCTACCACTAGCATACCAACCCCCCCTCCCCCATTCTACCACTAGCATACCCCCCCCCTGTCCTACCACTAGCATACCAAACCCCCCCCCTCCCTCATCCTACCACTAGCATACCAACCCCCTCCCCTCCCCCATCCTACCACTAGCATAGCAACCACCCCCCTCCCCCATCCTACCACTAGCATAGCAACCCCCCCCCTGTCCTACCACTAGCATACCAACCCCCCCCTCCCCCATCCTACCACTAGCATACCAACCCCCCCCTCCCCCATTCTACCACTAGCATAGCAACCCCCCCCCCTCCCCCATCCTACCACTAGCATACCAACCCCCCCCTCCCCCATCCTACCACTAGCATAGCAACCCCCCCCCCTCCCCCATCCTACCACTAGCATACCAACCCCCCCCCCTCCCCCATTCTACCACTAGCATAGCAACCCCCCCCCTCCCCCATCCTACCACTAGCATACCAACCCCCCCCCTCCCTCATCCTACCACTAGCATACCAACCCCCCCCCTCCCCCATCCTACCACTAGCATACCAACCCCCCCCCTCCCCCATCCTACCACTAGCATACCAACCCCCCCCCCTCCCCCCATCCTACCACTAGCATAGCAACCCCCTCCCCTCCCCCATCCTACCACTAGCATATCAACCATCATCTCCCGCCTTGTAAATGTTCAAGGTGTCAAAGGTTCACAGCATCACCATACTGTACAGTCACTGGCTGAAAGTTAGTACTCCAGATATGGTGGTCATGTGCTTACCAAGTGGTTGGAAAGAAACATAGGCTCTTGGGTTTTTTTCAATACCACAAATGATTTCCAGAAGTCTCTAATAGCAAATTATGTTTCTATAGGACTAGAGGGACATTGCCCTAAGGTAAGTGGTGCCACATGCCCAATTGCTCCAGCAGAGCAGGGCCAAGGTTAAAGGAGAAAGCCAGATTCTGGTCGAGGCCTCCAGTAGGCAAACATGGGTCTCAGAGGCCCGGTGCACAAAGGTACTGAGATTGGCCCCTCTCCTAGAAAGTAAGCTAAATAATTCAGATATTTATTTATTTTATATATACAAGAGTTGTTACATTCTTGTACAGCCACTAGCACGCGTAGCGTTTCAGGCAAGTCCTTAATCCTATGTTCCCTGGAATATGACCGACACAAAGAATGCTTTTTACAACCAAGTACCCATTTTACTGTTGACTTAAACAGAGGCTACAGTTAAGGATTTGCGCCCAGTAAATCCTCCCCGGCCAGGGATACAAACGCAGGACAAAGCGCTCGCGGAACGCCAGGCGAGCGTCTTACCGCAAAGCCACGGATACAGGAATTGTCAAAAGTGAATCACTTGTTATACTGCAGAGTATTAAATATATATACTTTTTTTTACTATATACTGTACTTCAAATAAAAACACTTGCCTTAATATCCACTTTATCCCATGGTATGGTCTTCAGTACAATAAACTCGGCTCCCTCGACATCTAGGCTAAAGTAGTCGACTGTAGTGACATTTAATGCTACCAGGTAGGAGAAGAGAGGGAAGCACTGTACTTCTAAGACGTCCCCAACTTGAGACCCGCTAGAAGGGTTTTCTTGTTCCTTAACAATATGGCCTTGGTTCTCTTGTTGTTGAAACATTACCTGTATAGGAATAAATACACAATGCCTTAAGATATTCTAGGTGCATTTTAAAATAAATAAAAAGCCATATACTGGAATTAACAATTAAAACAAGTTACTCAAATTGAATGATGACTAAAATGAATGCCTTTATGTCATAACATAGTGAAAGAATACTTGTAGTGTGTGTTTACATAGCAATATAGTTAGTTCTTAATGTGTGGGGATTGCATTCCTGTTAACACCATATAAAAGCATTATACAGTACTGTACACTCAATTTAATGAGTTACAGTATTCATTTAACAACCAATATGGGGATATACCCTGATCGTTAAATCTGGGCTTCCCCTAAATATGGTCGTATTAAAATGTCAGTAACATTTTTTTTAATCATAATTGGGAGGGCAACAGGCTGGATGGTGAGTGGACAGGATGGATGGATAGCTGGCTGGTGGCAAGGTGGGTGGGTAGGCGGGAAGTGAAGGCTGGGGTGGGGCAGGGGTGGGGTGGGGGGGCAGTGGTGGAGTGGGGCTGGGATAGGATGGAAAAGGGGTAGGGTGGATAGGATGGAGCAGGGGTAGGATGGATAGGATGGAGCAGGGGTAGGATGGGTAGGGTGGGGCTGGGGTGGGATGGGTACGGTGGGGCAGGGCAGGCCAGGACATGCCAGGGCAGGCTAGATGGCTGGCAGTCAAGTGGACTGCATGAATAGATGGATGGTAAGTGGGGTGGGCAGGTCTAAAGATTAACACTTTCGTTCCTTAGAGATGGAGATGACGTTCACAAATAACTCTGCGGATGTTCCTTAGGGACGTAGGTGACATTGTTCCGTAGCGCATGAGCTGGAACTTATCTTCGTTAAACACCATATTATTTTCTGTAGCCCATTGATAGACCTGATTTACATCTGATTGGAGGTTTGCCATGTCCTCTATGTTGTCTAGTCTCATAAAAATCCTAGTGTCATCTGCAAAGGAAAATACAGTACTATAGATTGTGTCTTGTCTATGTCCGATATAAGGATGAAAAAAAGTACTGGAGCAAGCACAGTACCTTGGGGGACTGAGCTCTTCACGGTTGATGGGCTGGATTTTATTTTGTTGACTATTACACATTGGGTTCTATTAGTCAGGAAATTGTAGATCCATCTGCCTATTTTTCCGGTAATTCCTTTTGAACGCATTTTATGTGCAACACCACCATGGTCACATTTGTCAAAGGCTTTTGCGAAATCTGTGTAAATTACATCATCGTTTTGTTTGACTTCCATGGCATCCAGTGCCATGTCATAGTGGTTCAGCAACTGTGATAGACAAGAGTGCCCTGTTCTGAAACCATGTTGTCCAGGGTTATGGAGATGCTGTGATTCCATGTACTGTATTTTGTGATCTCACTTCTTAGCACTCTCTCAAAGATTTTTATGATGTGCGATGTTAGTGCTATCGGTCGGTAATTTTTTGCCTCTGCCTTATTTCCTCCTTTATGGAGCGGTGCTATCTCTGATGTTTTTAATATGTCAGGGATAACGCCAGTATCTAGGCTTTGTCTCCAAAGAATGTGAAGGGCCTGCGATAGCATTTTTTTTACAGTTCTTGATGAATATAGAGTTTCAAGAGTCAGGGCCTGGTGCAGAGTGCATAGGCATACTGTCTATGACTTCTTCAAAATCCGGTGGGGATAGGGTGATATATGATTTGATGTTGGTATCATATCCATGAAAAATTCATTTGGGTTATCAATCTTCAGTGTGTTCAGTGGCTCGCTGAAAACAGAGTCGTACTGATTCCTCAGTATTTCGCTCAATTCTTTGTTGTCATCAGTGAAAGTTCCATCTACCTTTCACAGGGGCCCGATACTAGATGTGGATTTTGATCTTGATTTTGCATAGAAGAAATATTTCGGATTTCTCTCTATTTCACTGATGGCCTTTTGCTCTCTTTGACTTTCCTGGGTTTTGTATGATTCTTGTAGCTTTAGTTCAATTGTTTCTATTTCTCTACCTAACCTTCTTCTCTGTTCTGGAGATAGGATGAGACTCTGAAGTTGTTCCACGATTCATTTTCTTCGCCTATAGAGGGAACGACGTTCCCATTCCAATCTGCATCTCTTCCTCTTTTTTTTCTTAGGGGTATGTGGTTTGAACATATTTCTAGTGATACTGAGCTTATTTTTTCCAGACACTGGTTCAGGTTTGCATTTTCTAGCTGTTCTTCCCAGCTTATTTCTGTGAAGTCTTGGCTTATTTGTTCCTAGTTTACCTGTTTATTATTGAAGTTGAATTTGCTGAAAACTCCTCCATCGGGAATGGAGACTGATTTTGAAGGTTTATTCCCCATGCTAGTCAGAACTTCAATTAAGTTGTGATCTGAGTAACAGGTATTTGTAATCATTATGTTCCGGATCAATTCATCATTATTAGTGAAAATGAGGTCCAGCGTGTTCTCCTCCTAGTTGGTTCTACTATTTGCTGGTTTAAGGCAAACCTGTCGCATATCCGTAGCAGGTCATTTGCATGTGCCTGTTCATTTAGGCTCCTCCCTGGAATTCTCTCTGACACAACTGTATCAGCTATGGTCTTTCATTTCAGGTGCCATAGGTTGAAGTCCCCAAGCAGGATGATGTTTGGGGCTGGATTTGTGAGGTTTTCCAAGCAGTGTTCTATTTTCATTAGTTGGTCTTTAAACTGCTGATGATTTGCCTCTGGTGACTTATATACAAGGACAATAGCTACATTTAAGATCTCTATTTTGATTATCAGCACTTCCACCATATCATTTGTGGTGTTTAGCAGCTCAGTACAGATGAGTGTGTCCTTGATATAGAGGCTGACCCCACCCTGTAGCCTGTGTTTCCTGTCACATCTGAAAAGATTGTACTCCGAAATCCATATTTCACCATCATGGTAATCCTTGGTGTGAGTTTCCGTTAGGGCTGCAAACACTGCATTTGCCTCATCTAAGAAGCCATCTATGAAGTGCACTTTGTTACATTTGCATGTTTTTATACCCTGAATGTTAGCAAATAAAAATGATGTTATGTTAGTGGAAGTGCTGAATGCTTTACTTGGTGTTAATATCTGAGGCTCTGGTAAGGAGGCCACTGTGTTTGCGTCCTCTCTAGCATTTGACCGAGTTGATGGTAGAGTCAGGACATTTTTAGCCATTCTTCTCCTCCTCCTCTTGCTAAAAAATCATCCTGGTAAATACTGTTGTGGCTGCTTTCATTGAGATGGTTTGTATGTCTTATTCGCTTGGTACCGTTCGTTGGGTGTAAGAGGGGAAGGGCCACGCTATGTGAGCTCCGTGGAAAACAATATATATCTAGGGATATTTCAGTGATACAGGAACTAAACACAGTCAGATAACTTTTAAAGTGTGTCTCAACATATTAAACAATATATCATAGTGATTACCATCCGACAGTTTGTGTTCATTCGTGTGTAGTCAACGCCTGCCCATGTGGTGCCAGGAGTCCTTAGGCAATAGTTGCCAAGTCGTCAATAAATCACATCCCTCGCTATTGAAACATCAAGAAATCAGTGCCCATAGTGCTAAGCTTTCTATACAAAACCTGTGTCTATTATAAAAAAAAAAAAAAAATTAAGATAACATATCTTAATATCAAGTGAACAAATTATACACAAAATAAGTCTGTCGTGTATGTAAACAAGGGCCATTTGGAGGTAGGCCCACCCCGAGTACCCACTGTGTGTGTATTCTTCCAAATAGTGTAACGTACCCAGGTAACTAATGCCCAGACACAGAAACTAGACGCCTTTACTGTAAGATAACCAGTGGGAAAATGCAAGTAATGGTATCTAACAAGTGAACTAAACAAATTAAGAGTGTGACACGTGGTAGCAACACTGCCAGTCCATACAGCCTCCTCCAGGCCTGTCTCAAGTTGGTAAACACCCACGGTCAACCCCCAACGGTCAACACCCCACCTTGTAAGACCTTGTAAGACCATCACCACTGAACAGAAGTGTTCAACAAAAATGTCTTTGATAAGAACGTGCATAGAATGCAACATGAAGGTAGATTACCAACAGAGCTTTCAATGCCAACTCTGTTCAGCAGCCATACACAAAAAATGTGCCAACATGACTAATAATTCAAGGAGAAATTGTCCCAGTGACCACTCTGTGTACTGGCTCTGCAAAAAGGATGATGTAACTTTTTTGATGATGGAAATCCTGGATAAAACTCCCGCCGAAAATAGAGAATCACTAATAAATGCCTGCATAGCAATTTCTAATGTCTTCAAACAAACTGTACATGACACCAAGGTACAACCAGATGCGGCACAGAGCTCGGTGGCAGCGGCGCCTGAGCAGAGCGGGGAGTCGGGGACGCCTGAGCAGAGCGGGGAGTCGGGGACGCCTGAGCAGAGCGTGGAGTCGGGGACGCCTGAGCAGAGTGCAGAGTCAGAGACGCCTGAGCAAAGCGCAGAGTCGGGGACACCTGAGCAGAGCGCGGTACCGATGGCGCCGGAGCAGAGCGCGGTATCACAGGCCCCAGAGCAGAGCACAGTGTCGGGGACGCCGCAGCAGAGTGCGGTCCCTGGCAAAGGGAAACAAACAAAACAAAGCCCTAAAATCTGTTGGTATTACAAATGGGCTACCTGTAAACATGGGATATTGGGAAGAACAAATGGAACATGTAAGTACGATCACCCTAGAAAGCGCAGAAACCTCCTCAATACAGGTAAATGTACCAAAAGCTGTGAATTCTTTCACCCAGAAATTTGCAAGAACTCTTTGGACAGGAAAGAGTGCTTCAATGCTGAATGTCCAGCTTTTCATATAAGAGGTACCAGGCGAATAAAACCGACAGACCGCCACTATGAAAACAGCCCCTACTCCATCGACCGGGATAATTTTTTAGCAAGAGGAGGAGGAGAAGAATGGCTAAAAATGACCAGACTCTACCACCAACTCGGTCAAATGCTAGAGAGGACGCAAACACAGTGGCCTCCTTACCAGAGCCTCAGATATTAACACCAAGTAAAGTATCCAGC